TGAGGTGGAGGATGGGGACTAGGGGAGGTGAGACCTGTGGCCTTCGAGAGGCACTGGGGTCAGACTGTGGCTGTCCTCACACAAAGTCCACTGTGGTGCAGGATGGGTCAGGTGGTTTCCCAGGGCCCTGCCTGGGCTGCTCCTCACCTACTGTAGCCTCTGGCTGTGCTGTAGGGACCAGATGGGAGTGCCCTGGCCTCTGATGCCCGGACCCGTACAGGTCAAAGGGAGCCCAGCATGAAAGGCCGTGGTCAGGTTTGCCGGGCATGCACCTGTCCTGTGGAGCATTCCTCAGGCCCAGTTGCTGTGCCATGGGCAGCACCCCACAGGCCAGCTGGGAAGCCCCAGGTCCCCAGCCTCCTAGGACATGTAGCACAGCCTGAGGTGGTCAGGATGCCCTGGCTCTGTGCTCTGGGGCCGGCAGTGTGACCTCTCGGGACCTGGGACCCTTGCCTGTAGGAAAGGGGAGGTCAGTGCCAGAGTGTTCTGTGAAACACCAGGGTTAGCCCGGCACGGTGGCACACACCTGCACCCCAGACCTCAGGAGGCTGAGGCGGGCTTATCACTGTGAGTTCACGGCCAGCCTTGACTTGCAACAGGGCAGTGAGACCGTTCAGTGAGACAGGGACAGACTCTTCAGGAAATGGTGCCGGGAAAGACGGAGTCTGTGTGTAAACCAAACAGATACAAAGGTTAACGCAGCATGGACTGCATACCTGGGCCTCACCGCGGGGACATTCAGATCCCGGGAAAGCAGACCAGATCTGTGTGACCTGGGACCAGCCAGCACTTTCCTAGAGATGGAACCAGTAACGACACAGGGGAAGTAGACAGACTGGTCCTTGTCAAAATTAAAGGCTTTTCTGCCCCAAAGAACACTGCGGAGTAAACAGCGCATAGAGAGTGAATACCTGGAAATAACAGACCTGGGTTCGGAATACAAACCGAACTCTTCCTTGCTTCCTTCTTTCTTCCTCTCCCCTCTCCCCCTCCCTTCTCCCCTCTCCCTTCTCCCCTCTTTTTTCGAGGCAGGGCTTCACTGTGCAGTGCAGGCTGGCCTTGAACTCCTGGAGACCCTCCTGCCTCAGCCTCCTCAGTGCTGGGTTATGAATGTGCTGTGTACAGAACTCTCACAGCCTGACAGTAAGAAGCACATAGTTCACAGTGGCCACAGCGCTGACTGGGCTGGAGTAAATGTTTCCTCAGAGCCTCTGCACTGGGCAGAACTGCCTGGACGGTTGTGATGCTTAGTGTTGGGAAGAAGGCTAATGAGAGTGGGCAGGAGAGGCTGCCCCACCCTGCCCTGGGGCAGCTGTGGTGCCAAGAAGCTGTCTGCCTTGGCTGTGGATGAGACGCGCGATGGTGGCACTCGGGGCCATTCCTCGCAGTTAGGGCAATGAACTTGGGCGCCGGTGGGCACCCTCGGGCCCCCACCGAGACAGTGGGGCACCTTCACCCTGGCCCTGGGCTCAGAAGCAGCATCAGAGTCTACCAGACACAGCCACGGTGCCAAAGCGCGGGTGAGCCGAGCCTTGGGGTCTTCCTCCGCCCTCGCCACCCTGGGATGAGCCTCCAGACCTCATGGCTGGTGACAAAAGCCAAGCACACAGGTTAACGCAGGGGAGACTCCTGTGTGATCTCCAGGGTATGCGGCCCTCAGGGACAGGGGCAGGATGGCTGCTCATGGGTCTGCGGGTCCTCGTCAGGTGAGGAAATGCCTGGGGACTGACCAGAGGGGCAGCGGCGCGTCCTGCTGCTCTGCGTAACCACGTGGCACTGGCACTGGATCTGGAGCTGTGCACTGCGGTACACGCCCAGCCCTTTTGGAGTTTTTGAGACAGAATCTCGCTAAATTGCCCCTGCTGGACTTGAACTTCTGATCCTCCTGCCTCAGCCTCCCAGAGTGCTGGGGTTATGGGTGTGCACCACCACACTGGGCCTTAAGGGTGCAATCGTATCTCAGTAGAACTGAACCCCAAAGCAGATGCACCATTTCACTGAAACGCTAGGCGAAGGCGCTTAGTACCCAGAGGAGTTGGTTCTCTACACGGGGTTCACCTTGCGTGTGAAAGCACATACATTACACAGCAGACTCTAATGTCCTCTGAAAACATGAGCTATGGAGGGGAATGCAAAGAGAACAAAGATGAGTTTACCTGCATATCCCAGCTTCCATGAGGAGGTCACTGCAAATCTGGATTAGTAAAAACTAAAATCTTTTTAAAGATTCAAGGAGAAGAAAGATCCATCCTGCTCTCAGATCTGAAAACCAAAACCCACAGCTGTGTTTTCCACCGTGGATAGGGGCAGCCAAATTTGCATATGCATTTTAATTTATTAAAATTAAAGAGAATTTTATCTGCTGATCCTCCCTCCACGTTTCCTAGCTTAGTGTGGCTGGCAGCAGGAACATCACCATTGTCACAGAAAGTCTGAGGCCTCATTCTGATGTCATTGAGAATCATGATACAGGAGCCAGGTGTGGTGCACACCCATAATCCCAGCCCTTGGGAGGCTGAGGCAGGAGGATCACTGTGAGTTCGAGGCCAGTTTGGGCTACACAGTGAGTTCACGTCCAGTCTGAACTGCATAGAGAGACTTTGTCTCAAAATGCCAAACCCCCCCCCCAAAACCCAGAATCACATGGGGGGACTCAGCTGCCCCCCTAGTCCAGTGGAGCCCACTCCAGGAGGTGGCTTTGTCCTGTCCCTTTGCTCAGGGATCACCCAGGCTAAGCCTCTGTCCATCTGCTGGCTTAGTGAGTAATGGGACTCTTCTTCTTCCCTCACACAGATCAACCACTCTGACGGTGCCAAGAACAGGTACCATGGCTGGCCGGCGGAGATCCAGATTGAGGGCTGTGTGCCCAGGGAGCCCAGCTAGTGCTGCACACACTCAATAAACGTGTTGGTATGGCCCGAGAAGCTGCTAGGTCCCAGGGTCCCTTTGTAACGAGTATTTGGAGCTTGGTGTCAGCCAAGACAGTGCTGGCTATGTGAAGTCACAGCACACGACCAACCCACCATGTGGCACTCATTGAGGCTGCCCCAGGCTGGCCCAGATAGCCCTGCGAGTACCCTGCCCGATGTCAGGGTCATCTTACCCTGCTCCCTCTCTGGGGGCTCCAGCAGCTGCAGAGCAGAGTCCTGGGTGGGCTCCTGCCTGCTTTTGGGCACCCCTGTGGGCCGACTCATTCCTGGGGTCCCCCTGGGAGCACCTACTCTCTGATCTCCTGATGGCTGACCATGTGCAGAGCTGGCTGGGCCCGCAGGGCTTCTGCAGCCCTGACACTCTGAGATGCATCCTGCCAGTGGCCAGCACAGGGGCTAAAGACCCAACCTCACGGGGTGGACGGTGCCACCTGGAGTTGGCCGAATCTCCTTTCCTAGTGTACCTCAGAGAAGGGAAGTCTTTAGTATTGGTGCCACTGCCCCTTTGTCTGTCGTCAGCAGCTTGTCCCCTATGTAAGAGAGCAGGGGTAGATGCCAGGTTCTGGGTGATTTTGTGGACCAGACTCCCGTAGCATCCTAGGGGCACATGGTACCCCAACTCCCAGAGCTGTAAGGTAGCAAACTCCTGGAACTGCTGACATGACCCTCTTGTGAGGGGACACAGCTGGGCCTCTTAGGTGGAAGTGAGGTCCAAGGGTCTGGCTTTGGGGTTCTTGTGGGGTTCCCATCCCCAACAGCCCTATTGCCAGTCTGTGCTGGCCCTGCAGGTCTCACTGCTTGGGAGGGAGGGGCCACCTAGGTGCTGGCTCATGCTCACTTAGTGTTTATGGAGCTTGGAAGTCCTACCAAACCTAAGGGACCCAGTAAGAGATCTCCGTGGTGGGGTGGCATTCAGGGAACAGAAGAAGCCCTTAGGGGCAGAAGCAGGGGACTGTTGGTTCCCTTTGTAGTGTGGCAAGGTTCTGCAGATCCAGGTGAGATCCTGATCAAACCACAGAAGCAGCAGCCCTGTGTGGATTGGGGAATTTGTACCTGGGAGAAACCTGCACGGCCCCGGCCACCTCCAGCCTTAGTCAAGTTAGGAACCCCCGGTAGTGTGCGGCACAGGGCATGTTTCATTTCCCCACTTCACTTAGAGATACTTCGGACGTGTGGGTCATGGTGACGCTGCCCAGGTTACTCTTAGGGGACCTGCAAGCTGATTTTTCTAAAAACACTGATGCCGCTTGGGCCTGCAGGCATCTGGGGGTAACTAAAATGGGCTAGGGGTGTGCCATCTCAGCCATGTGATATGGCTGTCCCTTTGACACCGGATCCCTGTGCTCAGGTTCAGCCAAGCCCAGCATATATATGAGTCAATCATTGAAAACCACACTTCCAGCATGTGACATGGGCCAAACTGGCTCCTTCATTTCTGCCTACATCTGTCCATCCACACATCCTCTATCTATTCACCTACTCCCTGTGCAGTCATCAATCCATCTCTTTCCCATTCTCTGTCCATCCATCTCCCCTCCCCCACCACCCCCATCCATCCATTCATCTCTACCCATCCTCCACCCACCCATCCTCCTCCCTACCCATCATCTCCTTAGCCACCCACCCCCATCAACGCTGGCATTCATCTCTCCCTCCATCCTTCATCCTTCTGTCTTTCCTGCATCCATCCATCCATCCATTCATCTGTCCTTCTGACAGTCACCAAAAAGTCAAATGCGGAAAGGTGCAAGGGATCTGTTCACACACTAGGGACCACATAATCCAGCTGAGGGCCTGCATCCCGCAGCAGTGTCCTCCATGAGTCCAGCTCCTGGAGCCCATGACAGTGTCTGACACAATCTGCATAAAGGACCTGCACTACGAGGGCCCAAAGGGCAGTGGTAGAAGACAGACAGTCTGTGCTCACAGGATGGAGGAGCTGGGCCAGCAGCCTGCAGATCACCGGAGCCAGGAAGCAAGGCTCAGGGTAAGGACCAGGGCTCCCCTGAAGAGAACCACCACCTCCCCAGTGATATCGAGGACACTCAGTTCCACACCAGAAACAAATAATCGAGTTTAAGACCACAGTAATAAGATTGTAGCGTGTGCAAAAGATGAGAAGTATAAAACATAAGAGGCCTTTCTACTGAGAACGGGGAGAGAGAAAACCAACCCCCCCCCCACCACCACTAAAGTCTGGCTTTCTCTGTCTGGAGGACACGTGGAGTGGAGCCATATAAGTAGCTTAGGTTTAAGGTGGTGCCTGAGGGGCATTAGGGATGCGCAGGTATCTCATTGGTATTCATTCTCCCCCACCCCCCAGGCAGATTCCTAGGGGTGGGGAAGATAGAGCCACAGGTAAATTCCCAGGGGCAGGGAAGACTGAGCTTTGTTCCACCTCTAAAGCTCTACCAGCTAGTGTCCTGTCTGGGCCAAAAGCCTTTCACACAGTATCTTGACTAAATAACCTGATTACACACATGAATCTAAAACTACATTCAGATCATATCAAGGAGCTATTGCAATCACAAGCCTTGCTTGCCATTAACTTTCCACAGCAGGGCAGCACTGTGAAATGCCCCAGGGAATCTCCGGCGTGTCAGACACCCTCTTCCCTTCTGGTGAGAGTCCTCAGGCATTCTTCCATTTTCCTTTTCCTCCTCAGCAGCCACGCTCTCCTCTGTTGCATCCTTGCAATTCACAGCTGCCCTGGGGCCACCCCTCTGGCCAGAGGCTTCACATCTCCCTGCTGGCTCTGCACTGTTAATTCCCAGTGTAGAGCTGGCCAGAAGCCCTCCCCAGTAACCCCGCTGATAACTCTCTCCACTGCTTGCTTGATCTCTGGGCCTTAAACCAACCTATCATTAGGTGCTGAAATCCAGAGGCCTCACCAGCTCCATGAGTATGTCCTTGTCACTGCTGTCCCTCCACAGGACACCGACTGCCCTCTGCAACCCAGGCAGCCTCTCTCTGAGGTGGGCGTGTCTCTAGTGTCCTCCAGGGGACTTTGCTGTTTTCTTCTGTTTGTCCACCTGAAAATCGTAGCATTAGGTCTCAGCACTGGGGCACTGTCCCCTTGGCCTCCCCCTTCAGGAGCTGGGGACGCTGGTCTCCTGCAGGTAGCCAGCGTTACCAGGACATCTGGAGTCCCAGGACTCCCGTCTCTCAGCTCTTTTCGTCCTCTGCCTGGAGAGCCCAGCCACTCTGCCACAGGCAATTCCAGCTCCCCTCTGCCCCCCCAAGGCCTTCTCTCCTTCTGTCTCCTTAGAACCCTAAAGTCTCTGTCCATGGGATAGGTCCCAGTCTCTGTCCCCTCGCTCTGTCATCAAGGCCTCCTCCCCATCTTCACCTGCTTTCTCCGCCCCACACCTGGGCTCCCTCCTGACCCTGATCCTGAGTGGGATGCGGGCTCCCCCTCCAGGAGGGGCAGGGAGAGGGCGCCAGCCACACTCCTGTTCCTTGCTGCCTGTTGGAGGGTTCCCACATTAAACCCCACCCCGGGCATGGGTCCTGGTCAGCCTCACCGGTCACTCTCAGTCTGCCCTGCTCCACAACCCCTCACAATGTTTCTTCCTCTCTGCCTTCTGACTCGGGGTGGCGGAGCTGTGCACCGTGAAAACACCAGAAGCACCCCAGAAGATCGCTGCCATGATTCACCTAAAGTGCCACACGGTACCCCAGGGACAGACGTGCCTTGTGCGGGCCATCAGTTTTCTGCTGTCCACGGTGTTACTGGCCTTGGACTCGGCCTCCCGAGGGCTGGTTCTCTAGGTGAAAGAAAAAAACAAGAGTAAGTCTAGGGACTTGGTCTGGAAAAGGACTCACCAGACATGAGAACCACACAGACTGTTCCCAGGCTGGCCCCGGGTGGCTGTGGTCTAGTTGGGGCAAAGTTAGGGCGATGGTTTAAAGAAAGAGAATGAGCTTTAGTGACACAGTGCGGCCTCAGTAGACATTGGGAAACCAGGAAAATGGCCAAAAGCTGGATCTCTGGATTCTAGTGCCATCTCCAACCGGATCTCCTCTGTGAAAGGGAAGCCAGAGGAGCCCTGTGTCTCTGCTCTTATGAGTCTATGCCAGGACCCTGGACTGGGGAGCTCCTGTCACACCCCGTAGGCCCCCAGCATGTGACATGGACACATGTCACAGACCCCTGCTTCCCACCAGCACCTTGCTGGTGGGGATCTGCACCTCCCCACGCCCCATGTGGTGCCCACCTTACCTGATAACCACAATCCCACCCCTATCCGGTCTCCGGCGCCAACTGACAGGGCTCTGTCCCGTGCTGTGTGTCTGTCCCTCCATCCGTGCCAGCTCCCACCAGCAATCATGACCCCAGCAGGGCTGAGATTGGGAACCCAGTGATCGCCCCACTTCACTCAGGGCCTCTGTTCCCCTTAAGGAAGTGTCAGGTGGGGCTGGAGCCTCATTATGGCACAGGTCCCTTCTCGGGGACAGATGTGTTGATGCACAGGAAGGCTTTTCCGTGTCTCCGAGCATCCTGTGAGTTAGGGCAGTTTATTAAATCCAGTGTAATTTGTTCTGGCTGGGAGGGGTGCTTCTACGGCAGCCTGTGTCAGGTCAGTCTATAGCCCCTCCCTCCCCACGGAGACATTTGTCCCTCAGCAGTGGCCTTGTGAGAGATTGCATCAGCTGGGAGTATTTCACTGTGGCTTTTGCATTCTTCCAAGAGGGTCATGTGGGCATGGCTCAGGATGGGGCTGAGGGCTGTGGATGGGAGGAGGCCATGGTGTTAGCCCCATGCCTGGGGCTCAGTGCCACCTCTTATGTCATTTGGGTCTCTCCTGTGCCCTCAGGTGAGCCATCAGGTTCAGAAGGGAAGTGTGGGAGTGCTTGGGCATGCTGGGTGTCCCCCTGCAGGACCTGTTGAGAAGTGGGGTGCCATCCATGCAGAGTAGGAACAGATGGCAGGGCTGATCTCTGTTCAAGGCCAGAGATGTTTGCACTCAGTTGGAGCTGGGCTTCTGTTTCCTGGGTGAAGCAAAACCATCCTCACTGCTGGATGCACACGGGTGTGAGTGCCCGCTGTGGGAAAGGGGAGCCTCTCTCCCCACTGGTGGGGACAGCCGTGTCCTTGGTGGGTGGGGCTTCAGACTGGGTGAAACCCACTCCCTGCTTGCTGTGATGCCCTTGTGTGTGACAGGCAGTGAGTTATATGGAAATATCACAGGCAGGCAGGCAGGCCGGGCTGGGCCCTGGAGGAGCCTGTGCAGAAACCCAGAGACCTCACAGCCCTAGAGGACACAGACACTGAGATCTGCTGTGGGCCAGATCTCAGGACAAAAGCTCCAAAAGTACACCCACAACCTAAGGATAAGCATGAGGGATTGATACTCTGATTAGGTGTGGATCAGCTGAGGAAGCCAGGAGTCCCCAGCCCAACCCCTGCAGGAAGATTCAATGCTCGAAGCATGCCTGGTTGCTATGGGACTTGATTCCCCATTTGTCCTCGATTTAATCATTTTCACCTGTGCAGTTAATCTTATTGGCTGACCATCGTTCTGCCCCACCTCATGCCCACCTAGCAAGCTGCCATGATTTCCCACCTTTTGAGCTGCCTTACTTTGTGATTTTGCTCTGTAAAAGTCCTTAGAAAAGACAGAGTTAGGGCCTGGGATTTAGCTCAGTGGCATAAGCGCCTGCCTGGCAAGCGTGAGGTCATGAGTTCGACCCCCAGTACCATAAACGAAAAAAGACACAGAGTCCTTGGCAAGCCACTGGGGACCCTTCTGTCTCTCTCAGACAGAAGCTTTCTTTCTTTCAATAAATATATTCTGCTTTTAGCTTCATAGAATTCTTCAATTTTAGACAACACGAACACTCGTACCAGACACGGGAGTTTCGCTCCCTATAGCAAATGTGTATGTGTGATAATGGGGTGCAGGTCCCCGTGATCTGGGGTAAACTCCTTCCATAGGAATAGCAGTGAGGTCATCCCCACTGCCTCTGCTCAGGACTGGAAGCTGGGGCTTGTTCCAGATCACCACTGCTGCTGGAGTGAGGTTTGACACTGGGGATGAGTGGTGTCCATACACAGTGACACTGGAAAACCGGCCCTTGCTCCTCAGGGCACTGCCAGGCAGTGCCACTACTAAATAGGATCAGGTCCCCACATTGGGGCCAGGGAGAGATGTCCAGGCAGGCGAGGCTCTCAGTGTAGCCCTGAAGGAGGTGCCTGGACCAACCCAGAGGGATCAATGCCAGCAAAGTACAGCTGGGCACCTCCCTCCCAGGCCTGGCCCAGGCTGTGACCCCTTGTGTTTCACATGGCCCGGGCCATTCTGGAGCCTGTCCTGGAAAGAGCCCTGTGGTAGGAAGCAGGCTGTGCTGGCCTGGTGTGTGCTGTGGAGCTCACCCGTGGTCTGCATGGCAGCAGCCCTGTCTTGCAGAAAGCCCCAACCCCTGAGCCCAGAGCTCTGGGATAGATGTCACTCCGGATCCTGACTGGCAGGTAAGGTCCCCAGAGAGCTTGGGGTGGGCTCACGGGAGCTCCTAGGGGAGCAGGGCTTCCCCCCAGACCTGGCCCGGGACTGCAGGACCCCAGGAATGGGCAGTGCACAGTACAGGGACCTGGCCACTGTGACCCTCCTACCCTGCCTCCCAGCGCTGCATTTAGGTGATCTAGGCTCTCTGGGCTCTATAGACCCCGCCCAGATTAGGGAACTGCCCCCAGTAGACTGCAGACCTGAGGACCGTGCTAAAGTTGGGGAAAAGAGCTAAGCTCCCAAAGGTCTAAGACCTCTGAGGGCTCTGCAGCAGCTCTGGACTAGGGAACCCTGATTGGTTTCAGTTTTGATTTCCTTTCAGCTCAGGGCCCCTTCTTGCTCTGGTGAGTGTCATTCCTGCTCTCGTCCTGCCTCCCGCTCTGGTGGGGGTTGGTTCCCCTCTGGTCCTGCCTCCCTTGGGCTTGTCACAATTGTGTGTGTGTGGGGGGGGGGGGGGTGTTTCCAGAATGAGCAGCGTGGGTGTCACTGATTGCACCCGGGGCAGTGTAGCCAGCTTTGCGCTAAGCTAAGCCCCTCAGGGGCTGGTGAGTGTCACTGCCTGGGGGCTCCAGGACAGCACAGGAGACCCTCCCCAGAGGAGGTGAGGAGGTACACCTCAGGTGACCCAGGGATCACCCAGGCCCCACGAGTGTTTCTCTCAGCCTCAGAGAGAGCCAATATGGGGGACCTGGCCCACTCAACTGCAGTGACAGTGAACCACAGTATCCCACTCATGTCAGAGCCCTGAGGGGCACCTTGGAGACCCCTGTGTGGCTCCTCCCTGGTGCGAGGCCAGCCTAGACTGGGCTCCAGCTGTCCAGGGACCACAATATCCAAGAGGTGCCCAGAAACAGCCTGTGCCCTGCTGCTGTCGCCCAGGCCTCCCGCCCACCTAGTCGTTCCAGGACACAGGTCTAGACCTGGGCAGTGGTGCTGCCTTGAAATTCCTTCCTGGGCTCCCCAGCTGGGGCTGCTCTGCCATAGCTGGGCCTCTGCATCCAGGCTGGAAACAGACAGAACCACTGAACCCAGGGTCCCCGCAGCAGGTTCAGCCCCAGAAAAGAAGCTGAGTCAGGGGCCACCTCCCTAGCTGCTGCCAGTGTTGTAGTTGGGTTTGGGCCGGGCACTGTCTGGGTCCTTCCACATCTCCTCGGGAGCCTCTGGTACAGGGACCCAGGGGGCTCATGGTGCAGGGGTGTGGCTCTGCCTCCCACTGGGGCAGAGTGGGGTTTGTGGCTCAGGAGGCTTCCAGGCCTTGCCACATGGACAGCCTGGTAGGCTGTGAACAGGACTGGCCCTGAGGAGGTTGATAGTCATTACAGGGCCACAGCCTTGGTCCAGAGTCAAAAAGACTCTAAGGTCAGGTGAGTCATAGCAGAATCAGAAGGGAAGGTCCTGAATTCCCCAGGAATGTACACTCAGGTTGGGACTGCCCCCAGGGACTTGGCCAGAGGCGATGCCAGCACGCCCTCCACAGTGCTGAGAGCTCTCCGGGCTCGGTTGTGTTACGCAGGGTAATTGTGCTTGAACACAGATGCAGGCTTTCCTCACCTCCTGGCTTCCTGGCTGCATCCTGCTCGTGAAATGCGGCTCATCCCAAAGGAAAATCACTTCCAGCAGGATAAGCATGCAGTGCCCCTCGACACTGGGTACCCACTGATTCTGGAAGGCACCATGAGAAGCATACGAACTGGGCCAGCTGCAGTACTGAGTCCACGGGGTTGGCTCTGGGTCTGCCTCTGAGACTGGCCCCATGCACACACGCACACACGCACGCACACACTTGTACACCTGAGTATGCATGCCTCAGGGACGTGGCCTTGAGCCTCTGCTGGTCCTCACCCCTCTGCGCAGTTTGGAATTTCAGCATTCGGTATGTTTGTCGATTGCGCTTCCTGTTACGTGTGGGGTTTACACAGAAACACCAGTGTACCCACCTGTGAGCACGAGGCCTCGGAGATGCCCGGAATGGGACACGCTCCACTCCTGGGGTGGTAGCCCGGCTTTGCCATGCCTTGTCCAGGGCGACCAGCTGCAGAGCACTCTGCCTGGTAGGAACTGATTATCTAATGCCACTGTGAACTTCACATTTCTCCCCCACCAGTGCCCTGGACACATTCTGACCCATCGGAGCCGATGGCTGCCACTTCCTCTGTCCCGTTACAGCCTGGGGTATGCTGGAAAGAGTGGCTTCTGTCCTCACCAGGGAAACGCAGCCAGCCTTCCTCTCTGCCACTGAGTGGACAGGGCATTGGGGATACACACGGATTGAGGGTGTCTGGCTGCACTGACCACCCTGGCAGGACCAAGGCTGGGGGCCCAGGGAGAGGGGACAGGGTGGGTCTCAGGGACATTGGACAGATGTGAGAGACAGGGAAACACAGGGGTCCTGGGCTACAGGACAGAGGGTGGGACCGGACAAACACCCCGGGTCACCCCTAGACAATGAGACATAGCCCGGCTCCACACACCATGCACAGCCGGAGACTGGACAGGTACTGGAAAAATTAGAGATTTTATTTGCACAAATACTTCACAAGTGAATCTCAGAGCAGTCACGAGCAGGGGACAAGCTTCTGTCCCACAGGTTGGCAGTGTCTTGGGTGGCTGCATCTCAGGAGGGCCGGGGTGCTGCTCCCACAGAGGCCAGCCTGGAAGGAGCACCCCATCCCCAAGGCACGGTCCCTGTGTCGCCCCCAGAGCCCATGTGCAGAGCTGTGCCCATGGTCCAGGGCTCATGAGCACGTATAACGATGCCAGCATGGCCCCTGGTTTCCTGCAAGCCCGGGGCTGGAGGGACCCACGGAGCAGCTTCCTGTGCTCTGTCTTCTCTGCCTCATGCAGAGCCTCAGGTCACAGTGGAGCTGACAGTCTCGAGTGGAGCCCACAGGGGCAACTTCAGAAAGAGAGGCTGCCGCCCTCCCCGGAGGGCACCACTGCGCAGCGCTCCAGGTATTGAGGTAGCGAGAGGAGGAGCTGACGAGGTCCCAGGGCATCGGGAGCCCATGCTCACCATGGACCCTGTCTCGACATACCAGAGGGCCACAAGCTCCTCAAGTAGCCTGGTCCTGCCCTTTGCCTAGAAGAGCTGGGGCTACAGGGTGTTGGCGAGGTGGCCTGGGGCCATGCTGAGTATCCCCAAAGGGAGCCCCTCCAAGCCTTGCAGCAGACACAGGGCACGGGCCTGCTTTTGCCTTCACTTCCTGTCTCAGCCTGGGAGTGAATGGTTTCCGCCATCCTCCCAAGGCACCCATGAGGGGCTGGGCCTTTCATTTGTGGCTCATTTCCAGCTAGTGTCACCACTCAGAGCAGCGAACAAACCCACAAAACAAATAACCAGACCAGGCCAGCCACAATGGTGGGTGCCTGGGATCCCAGCAAGCTGGGAGGCTGACACAGGAGGATCTCAGTTGCAGGTCCACGCTGGACAACTTAGCAAAATCTTGTCTCAAAATACAAATTTTTAAAAAGGGCTGGGGATGTAGCTCAGTGCAAAGGCCCCAGGAGCATGAAAAAATAAATTAGCAAACCAGACTGGTCACAGAGGGCCAGGCCACAGGCCTCCCAGTTGGCCATCCCTTGAGGTGATGTTCTCTGGCCCAAGTACCTGCCTGGGCTGTCCCCTTTCTGCCTCGGCCATCTGGTCACTGAGAGGCCACCATCCAGGCCCTCACAAAACAAATTTGGGAGGAGCATCCAGGGGGGCAGCACCTCTGTCCTTGGCCCTGGCCTGCAACTGGGGCCTGGTCCCCACTTACAGGCAGGGGTCAAGCGCTGCAGGTAGCAGAGGGTACCACAGCCTGCATAGCACAGGGACAGTGCAGTCAGCAATCAGTGTTTACTGAGAGAGAAGGAGCAGCTGCTGGGAGTTAAGTCAGCCCCCCAGCCCCATGCCTGCAGCTGGTTCCCGGCTGGATGTTATGGTGGAGCCCCAGGATTAGCTGTTCACCTGTTCAAAAGGACCAAGAAATGGGGTGCGTGTCAGGACACAGCGGCAGAAAGCTGCTTCTCCCCAGGATGATATGGGGTCCTCAGGGCTGGGCCAGCAAGCTCTGTAGCACGCAGGGATGACTCTTCCTCCTGTGTGGATCTCAGGGCCTGCAGGTTGGCCATGGGATCACCAAGGACCCATGCACCTTGGGTGCTTTCCACTAATCGCCTGGCCTCTCACCACAGCTACCCCCAGTGCCACCTACCAGCTGGACGTGCAGGACACATCTGGCACCTGCTCCCTCTATCCCAGAGGTGGTGCCCATGTCCCAGGGCCTCCTCCTAGTCACCACCAGGGTCTCCCGGCCTCTTTCCCATCTCCTGCCTTAGGCTAGGTGGTGCCCGGCCCTGTGCTACTGTGCTAATGTGACCCCAGTGACACTGAGGGGACACAAGTCACGCACGGTGCCAATGCCCTGCTCCTGGCCCACCCTGTGGCCAGGACTGATACCCTGAAGAACAGGGCCAGGGTTCATGGCCTCCTCAGCCTGGGAGAGAGGTGTGATTCAGCCACCAGAGGGCGCAAGCGCAGCAGGGACCTGGCCTGGCCTCCCGCACCTCTCCAGGAAGGGTCTGTCATGTGGGCCCTCACTCAGGGCCAGGTTTAGGGGCTCATGGAGCCGGGTCCAGCTGTACCGCTCCCTCTGGCAGAGCACCACAGTGGAAGCTCCTCACAGGCAAAGAGGCAGGGGTGGATGGGGTATAGGGATGGCGGCCCAGCACTCCATCAGGACATGGAGTACTGGAGGCAAGGCAGGGGAGTGTTACCCGCATCTGCTGGTAGATCCAGTCCGTGAACACCGATACGTTCCCGTACACCCCAGGTCTGAATGGCTGGGCGCAGCCAGACCCCCAGCTCGTGTCTCCGATCAGCCACCAGATGCCATTCTTATTTGTGACCAGCGGGCCACCGCTGTCACCCTGTGAAGACAGAGAGTCAAGTGGCAGCCCTGACATCTGGGCCCTGGTGGATCTTGCCCACACCAGCCACAGCCACTGGGGCCCACGGAGTGTAACGGCCAACTCGCTCAGTCCCAGTCCACACTGCATGTACAGAGCAGAAGCTTTCTGTGGAAGGCTTCTGCCGCTGCTCCCAGCTCTCTGGGAGCAGGGCCCGCCCCAGCCCTGCAGGGCCTGCACCCGGCAGCAATCACCTGGCAGGAGTCCACCCCGCCCACCAGGATGCCCGCGCAGATCATCTCGGGTGTGATTAGGTTGTTGTAGATTAACTTGCTGTTGCACTTGGAGTTTTCAATGAGGGACACTGAGGCAGAGTTCAGCTCATTCGAGGTCTTCCCTGGAGACAGAAACAAGCCAGTGGCTCTCACTGGAAGAGATGACCCAGCCCCCCCACACACACACACACTCTCAAGCCAAGCACTCTCATGATGTGTCTAGGAGGGCGGCTGGGCATTGCTCCATTAAGCAGATGGGGGAAACTGAAGCATAGTCTGGGCCACTGTCCAGAGCCATCCACCACTGAGTCGCATTGTCTAGATTTGAAACCAGGACCTCCCACACCCAGCCCTGGGCCACCTTCTGTGTGCCCGCAGCCGCCTGTGCCCCGGAGCCTCACCTTTCTCATAGGTGGCCCCCCAGCCAGAAATCCAGCACTGCTGCTCGGGATTCAGCCCCAGGCCAGGGTTGGGCAGGCATACAGGCTTCACACTGTCTGTCTCCAGGAAGGAAAGCCTGGTCGGCAAAGGCCCAGGGCAGGCGGCCCCTCACCACAGGCCTGGTATCCAGAACCTACACTCCCACCTTCCCCCTCCCTACAGGCAAGAAGCTCCCCAGAGTTGTGCTACTGTGTGCAGAAGTGGGAGCCAGCGGCTTCCACAGCACGGGGCGAGGGTCCCCAGGACCATGGGGGCCCCGACAGTGGTCCTGAAGCCAATAACAGCATGAATACGGGACGGGTGGTGATGCACATCTGTAATCCCAGCTACTTGGGAGACTGAGGATTGAGAATTCAAGCCCAGCCTGAGCACTTAGTGAGAGTGTCGTAAAGTAAAATATAAACAGGACTGGGAACGCTGCCCTGTGTCCAGCGCTCGGCTGGATGTGCTCAAGATGGCTTAAATAGAAGGAAAGGTAGGGAACTCGTGTTTCTTGAGTTATGACTTTTAAGTGCTTTGCCTGAGAATGCAGGTGAAGAGATAAAGCCAGAAATTAATGAAGGCCCCCAGGAAGGCTGGTAACCCCTGGAGACCCCCCATGTCAGACCCAGGAGCACCACTGCCCGCTACGCCCCTGCACCTGCGAGTCGGGAATGTGGCTGAGCTATTGGACCTGGGAGGACCCAGCTGCACCTAAGTCACGCTCCTCCCGAGGTCTCCGTCACTGTGGCCAGAGGCTCTGGTGTCAGCCTCCCCTGAGGCCACCGCACTGATACCCCACGGTGCACAGGACGCATGTGCTTCTGTCCCTGCTAGTACCCAGTTCCCAAGCCCTTCCGGGCACCCCAGCCCACAAACCACTGAAAGAGAGCGGTGTCTGCAGCTTGAACAGAGCAATGTCGTAGTTCTTGCTGGTGGAATCATAACTGGGGTGCGGGATCACTTTCTCCACGTGGATGGCATTTCCATAGAACATGAGGGACTGCTTCAGGATGCCCGCAAACACCGTCCAGTACCGCGCATTATTGAGAGGCCTGGACAGGTGGGGATAGCACAGGGGCCTGAAGGCCACAGAGGGCACCCTCCTGAGGTCTCCAACAGCCACACACACTGGAGTGAAGTCCAGGACTCCCCAAAACTCAGAGCACGGCAAGGCAGGGCTTCACCTGGCCCCGCCCACCAGCCTCTGCTCCTCCCAGTCCTGGCCCTCTATGCTCCTGGGTCCCTTGTGGTGGACCCCGGCTCCTCCTGTCTGCAGTACCAGCCACAGCAGGGCTGCACCCCACCCAAGGCTTCAAACTCAACTTCTGGGGGACTGGGTCTCACCGACCTTACTATGCTGGAGAGTTTCCCTGCACATAGCAGGTGCCTAAAAATGGCTCCGAGGCACAAGCTGTGGCCTTGACCAGGGAGTTTTGGGAGTTTTAGGAGAACTCTAGTTCTAGTGGGTGCTCAGAATCTGGGGGTGAAGGGAGGCATAGAGGAGGCCCTGGGGTGAGCAAAGTGGCATCCTTTACCTTCAAGCAGCCTTGGGAGACACTCAGGGAACCGACCATGGTGACATGGCCCAAGGACGTACCCTTCCACACAGTGAGCAGCTGTCACGATCCACTGGGGTGTGAGGATGGATCCTCCGCACACATGGACGCCCTGCACATGCAGGCTGACCTGCCATGGCCACTGGCCCAGTGAGGCAGCTGAGCCACCCACGATCCTGCTCTGGATGGCGGGTGAGCGGACTCCACACTCTGAGGACAAGCACAGGGCCACCACCCAGTGAGCATGAGAAGGTCTGATGGGGACACACTCTGCCTCCTCCCAAGACCCAGATGCCCCTGTCTCAGGCTTCCCCTGTGATGGCAGAGCCTTCCCTTCAGCCACTGGAGCCAATTATGCCTTGGAGGTGTGGACAGTTCAGGGGGGAGAGTGGGCAGGTGTGTGGGACTGGAGAGGGCGAGGCAGAGTGGGGTGCAGTGGCCCTAGAGCCCAAGGTCAGTCCAAGCACTGGGTCAGCCCAAGATGACTCTCCAGAGGAAAGGAGAGCCTCGTGGTGCCCCTGTGATGGTGACCAGAGAGCCCAAGGTAGGTGGCCTAGTGGCTGAAGAAGACATTTAGGAAGCCAAGGTTCAGAAGAGCACCTCCAGGGACCCAAGCCGTGCCATAGGACAAGGTAGTCAGGGTGCAGGGACCCAGAGTGAGAAGCATCGGGGAGCCCCCAGCAGGCTCACAATGCTGACTTCCTAATCAGCTGCTCCTTGTGCAAGACTCGGGCACAGCCCCACCTCCAGATGCCCAGAGATGCTTCTCAAGGGATGGAGCTGCTCCCGGGTACAAATGTAAGGAAGGAAGCTGGGCGTGGGTGGGCAAGCCTGTCAGACCAGCACTCTCAGGAGGCTGAGGCAGGAGAATTGCCATGGGTTCAAGGCCAGCCTGGACTGCTTGGTGAGACCCTTCTCAAAAAACCAAAAGCCAAAAAAAAAAAAAAAAAAAAAAATTGAAGCAAGCAGCATGGGGACAGACTCACCTACACAGCGCAGGGAGACCATGCTTCTGGAGGAGCAGGTGTCACTGAAAAACAGAGCCCGGGTCACTGCAGTTCCCTTCCCTGCTTCCCCAGGACACAAGGCTTCCTTTACTGAAGACCCTAGCATAGTGGCAAAATCTGCACAGGACAGAGTGGAAGTGCAGGGCTCAGGTCCCCACTGTGCGACCTGGGACGAGCTGCTTAGCTTCTCTGAACCTGTTCCCCCTGGTCAAAGGAGGTGGTAAGAGTCCTCAGGCTGAACCCCCCCAGCCTGCAAAGCGGGACCCTGCACCCAGCTCTTAACATCCAGGCTCCTCCCAGCCCTCAGGAGCGGGAAGTTCCTCCCCGGCAGAGGCAGTGCAGGCGGACTGCAGGCGCACTGAGAGTGTGCAGTTAGTTGCCCATGGGTCATGTGCCTAAGGTGCAGGGGACATGTGTGGATGTGGCCTTCCTGTTTGGACCTGGACCCCCCGTTATGTTCATATCAATATTCCAAGTCTGAAAAGTCTGAAACACCTCTGGCCACAAAGGCTTCCCACAGGGGCGCCCAGCCCACCAGCGCTGGTCGGCAGAACTTGCCTGGGCTTCCTGCAGCAGCCTCCCATGGCCCCTTGGGGCTCCCTTGGTAACTGAGGCCTAGTTACAGCCCGAAGCTCTGGCCTGGCTCCATTTCAATCCCTCCTAAGGACACATGGTCAGTGCACGGAGCCACAGAGCTTCCACTTCGGGTGTGCCCAGGGGTCTCCCGGGGCCCCTCTTGAGATGCCCGAATGAGATTCCCTGTCCACTGCAAATGTGGCACCCTTGGCTTGGGCAGTCGGAGCAGAAGAAAGCACAAGATTCTGAAAGGTGACCTTTCCCCAGGTGACAGGGACACTGCCATGCAGCCACCAGTAGGTGGGAGCCAGGGGTTTGCAGAGGAGCCCGGCCAGGAGCAGGCAGAGCCTCAAGCACGCAAGGGTGGCTCTGAGCCTCCCCTGGAGCCCCAATCCTGCAACCAGGGTGGACGTGACATTCTAGAGCAGGACCTTCTCTCTTCCCTGCAAAGCTGATGCCACCCTAGGGGTTCCCTGGACTCGTGCCAAGGATACCAGCCCAATCCCTGCCTACCCCAAATAAATGGATGCTGGGCACCTCCCCACACAGGTCACACTGAATGTACCGGTGTCCCACAGGTGCCCAAAACACACACAGGACACAAACGAGGTGGCCCAGGACTCCCCTTCAAGCTGTCTCTCAGTCAGGTTCCCCTGGGCTTCTGTGCACTCCCTCTGCAGGGCACAGGGAGACCTGCTCAGAGTCACAAGCCAGCTTCAAGGTGCAGGAAATGTTTGCCATGCCGAAGGGGATGCTTGGGCCCCAGGTCCAGGAGGCTGTCCCCAATCCCGCATGGGTCAGGGCCAAAGCACTCAGGAGCCCAGCTGTCTGGATGTCCCCTGGGAAGGAGACTTTTGGAGCTGAGACCTGCAAAGTCCAGGGTGGACCAGTAAAGCTGTCCCCAGTGAGGACCCCCAGACAGTTGCCTGGGACCCCAGATAGCCAACTACAACCTCAGACAGCCACCTAGGATCCCCAGACAGCCACGTGGTACCTGGCGCTCCATTGCTATGGCGTGAGTGGGACTTGGACCTCAAAGTCTTTTGTTAGTGGAGTCCTCACCCCCAATCCTGGTGGCTCCAGAAGGACAGGGAGAGCACACAAAGGACACAGCCCTCCCATCGTGCTGTGCATCGGCCTGACGGGCTTTGAGCACAGCCAGCGCTGCAGCCTGGGAACCTTGGACCTCCAGAGCCACAAAGCAAAACACCTGTCCCTTGTCTCTGGAGGAGGCCACCGCCGGTGTTTGGTCATAGCAACAATGACCTCAGTTTCACCAGCAGTAAACACTCAGCGCTGAGCCCAGTCAGGCTCTGATGGATTCTAAGTGATCCCAGGCCCAGCATGGAGCCCCCCAAGCCCAGCACCACAGCCCAGAGGAACAGGCTCTGAACCCAGGATCTCCTGCCAGATTCTGCTGAGGACAGAGCAGTGGGCTGGTACCTGAGAGTCAGCTTTTTATAGAAGTTGGTGCTGCTGGAGCTCCTGTTGAGCTTCATAAAGCTGGTTGCCCCGCTGTCATCTGCTACTCCTCGGGTAGAATAAAAACTGTTCCTAAAACAATGGGAAATGGGTACAATAGCGGTCACAGGGATACTGTGCTGCACCAGAAACGTTCGGGTGACACTGGGAACAGGAAGGTCACCTTAGCAACAAGAAACCAAAGGGAAGCTGAGATCACAAGATGCCTTATTACACAGTCTGGTCACCTCATACCTGGAGGTTAAAGTCCTGCAGGGATCCTGTTCTAACCCGATGAGGTTGAGGACAAGGACAAGATTAGGGATGCAGGGACTCGGGTGGGGTGTGATCAAAAGGTCCGGCGACTGCACCCCTAGGACACAGTGCCGTGAGTCCCCTCAGAACTCCCTCACTGTGAGCACACCCATCCCATTGTCCCGGCCACTTCCTGCAGCAGCTCTGGAGCCCTCTCTCCTGAGGGCCTTAAACTGCTCTATCCTGGCTGCCTTGGTGTCCTAAATGGGTTCACACCATCTCCCTGTCATGGTCATTTGGACTCTGAGGCAGAGCCAGAAGTCACAGGGCACCAGATCCGGTGTCTAAGGTGGACGAGGGCACAGTGTGTGGTTTTTTCGAGCTGCCTCTCTGGCGGGTGGCGCTGGGCAGCAGCACGCACCATAGTTTTGATCATGAAGACCCTTGGGAAGGGGGACTCCAGAGCTGCAGAGAGTGGCCACGACCCTGGGATGAGTGTGTCCCAGTGGGGTGTGTGGGATTTTATGGGGCATTCATGGCAATGCGTCTTGTACTATAATACCATTTTAAAATTTAAATTTAAATTAAATTAATGGGAAATTTAAATTTTCATTGATCACATCCATGCACCCTAATAAAATATGTGGTTGTTAAAATCCTCCCTGGTGTTATAAATTTCCCTCAGCTTCCTGAACTGTGATGGGTGTATGACTCCTCCCTGCTGGCTGGGAACAGCATTTTGAAGGCTTTCACCACGCAAGATGCCAGCCTTCTTATTGGTGATAATTCCCTTTAAAATCGGGAACCCAGATCTTCCTGATATGTGGAGTCACAAGGAGACAGCCTGAGACACTAATGACACTGCCCTTTCCCCCAACCTGAGCCTGGCCCGCAGCTTCCCCCAGGTACCTGTGTCCCTTTTTTCCAAGAGGACATGATGGAGGGGCACCCTCAGTGCATCCCAAGCCCGGGACCTCCGCCACCAGAATGCTGAGCTGAATAAGCCCCCCTTCTTTACAATGACCTGGGCTCAGGCATTCTGCTATGGCAGCCCAGAGGGAAGGGCAGCAGGGTTCTGCAGGGTCCCCCACCCTCTTTTTGCTGGCTGCGTGTAGCTAAGGATTGTCTCTTCCGCTCCCAACTTCTCAATGGCTCCCACGCAGGCACAAAAAGGAACAAAGGCCAAAAGCTGCCCCATGCTCACACTCATGCCCTGCTCTGGGGTCTCCTGCACTGGGAAGGTGTTGCCTAGCAACCGGGAAGATGCAGGGCAGGTGAGCACCTTTCAGTGCACTGGAGGAGAGGGCAGTGCTGTCAGAAGCTGACACCTGTCCTCGGCAACTGGAGCCTCCGCTTCCACAGACAGACAGAGTGACATGGTCTCCCTCTGACCCTCAGGACTGGTTGTCATGCCGACACTGGGTCCCCACCCAGGGCACACTCACCCGTAGCCCATGTCCATGCAGGCCACCCGTGCGTAGCTCTCGCTCCAGTCATCGTAGCACACGGGGTACCAGGACTTCCTCTTCGACGAGTAGACTTGGAGGATGAAGTTGGGCCCGTAGAGGCGAACTGCAAGGGAAGCCAGGCTCTCCGTGAGTGTGTCCCGGGGGCGCTAGACCCACACTGCCTGCAGACACCAGGTGCCAGGGTGGCCAGTGGTGCTGGCTCTTGTCACATCCAAGGGGGTCCACATGGGTTCCCTAAAATTCTTTTGCATTCACTGCAAAAATGAATGGAGGGTGGACACCAGACAGGCATTGTCCCCACGGCCTCCTCCACCACACCCTGGCTGGAGAGGCCCAGCCACCCCCCAACAGAAAGGCAGCAGATTCCAGACACACAGTGGGTTTCCTGGGCCCCGGACAGGCTCGCAGCCCTGACACAGGCAGCGGCTCTGAGGACATGGTGGCGGGAGCAGGAAGCCCGAGGTCAGTGCAAGATGTCTGAGGGGACCGCAGAGCAACAGCAGGTGAACAGATCACATCCCTCGGAAATCGGGGGTGCCCCCGGGGTCCTCAGTTACCCTGGATTCCCTTCCAGGAGTGCCAGGGTACGGCAGGGCGCAGCAGGCATGTGTCAAGGGAAAAGCAGGGAGCTGGGAGCAGTGCTCTAGGGTTGGGGTGAAGGCGGGCGGGCCTAACTGTAAACGCATGGGACAGCGGTGGCACCTCCTGGCTGGTCCCCAGGGAAGGACCACACCAGGTGGCCGTGCTGTGACGCTGTGGTGCTGAGTGAGTCCACCTGGCAGCTGGGACCCGCCACATGTTAGTAGAGAAGAACACAGAAACCTCGACATAGCCGGACAGTGGATATTGTTCCACGCTGCAAAGAAAGGCGCCCTGCGGCCAGGAAAGCCGACACCAGCCTTGAACCCAAGTCATGGTGTGAATGAGGCTGACAGGAACAGGCTGCCTGCCACGGGAGGACTCTGGATCAGGGCAGGTTGGGGTGCTAGGAGGGCTCTCCTTGAGCACAGAGCATCGGGGAGACAGCGAGTCCTCGTGCAGGCAGGGACATCAGGGACAGCGGCACTGGGAGCAGCTGCAGCCCTGCAGTGAACTCGAGGCCTCAGCACAGGCACCCTACACTGTAGGGCCCCAGGAGCTCAGTGGAGGAGTCCTCAGAACTAAAGCTAGAGACTCACCTTTTCCTGTAACCCACACATGAGGTCTGAACACCCCTGCAGGATAGGGGGCTCAAATCTCAGGCTCCATCCAGCTCCCCTCTGGCTGGGACACCGGCCAGGGGAGCCTCTCTTCAGATCCAGAACCCAGGCTGGCCACTCACCACACCGGTTCTCGTCCTCCCCATTAGGGCACTGCTCGGCACCATCGCACCAGAGGGAGGCACTGACACAGATCCCCGAGCTGCCGCATTTCATCCCAGACACGGAGCAATCTTTTTCCACTAGCAGAGGGGACAGGGAGGGGCCTCTGGTCAGGAGAAGGAAGCAAGAGCCCTTGGGAAAGCCCACCAGAGGTCTCTTTGTCACCCACGCTGGGACCCCAGGAGCAGGAAGAGATGACTCCACCCCCACCATGTGTATAAGGAGAGGCTCGCACGGCCCCCACCACCTGGGACCTCCAGGGTCCACAATGTGTCTCCCCACCCTGAGTCAGTTGCTCATGGAGCTGAGATGCTGGCCCTCTGAGGACGGGTGACCAGACCACTGGGACGAGAGGGAGGGGACCACGGGAGCAGAGCCCACGGCTCACAGCACTCACGGAGGAGCTTCCACAGCAGGATGCCAGTCAGCAGGATGGCCACCAGGATGGCACCCAGGACCAGGCACAGTTGCCATTTTGTCTCTGCAGGAGCAAGAGCAGGACACAGGGGGGCTGGGGGTTTAGCTCAGCGGCATAAGCACCTGCCTTGCAAGCAAGCGGTCGTGAGTTCGATCCCCAGTACCGATAAAAATGAAAAAGACAAAAAAAAAAGAGCAGGACACAGTTCAGCCCTTCAGAGAGGAGGCCTCCCATAGATCTTTTTCTGGCTCATTCAGTTTTTCTGAGACAGGGTCTCACTGTGTAATCCAGGCTGGCCTTAAACTCGTGGCAATCCTCCTGCCTCAGCCTCCTGAGTGCTGGGATTCTAGGCATGTGCCACCACGCCCACTTCACCCATTGCTCTGATCTAGAAGCCCCCTGACCCGGATGGACTGTAACATGGTCAGGACAAAGCATGATTCCACCCTAGCACATCACAGCCCCGAGTGCCTCACACACCTGAGCTGCCCACCCACTGTGTGTGTGCCGGAAGCTGGCCCAGCGCTCCGCGGCTAAAGCACCTCACAAAAGCCAGCCTTCCGGCACAGCGCTGACTGCAACAGGACTCCCAAACACCACTGTAAAGTAGGGTGCTGTGTACTGGACCCCATAAGCTGGGGACTGTCTGTGAACCCAATTAAGCAATAAGACTCTGTATGCTTAACAGTGTGGGTATGAGGCTGGAGAGGGTGGCACACACCAATGACCTGGCATTCAGGAGGCTGAGGCAGGAAGATCACAAGTTCAAACCCAGCCCAGGCAACTTACTGACTTAGCAAGTCACTGCCCATGGAGGCCTCCCTGGACATACGGCCTCCCTGAGCAAAGAACGATGACTTGCGTCTTGGCTGACCTGGCCCTGTCTCCGTGGCTGACTCTCACAGAGTGGGCCAGGACTGTCCTTATCCCTGCAGTGGCTTTAGTAATGCAAAGGGTCTGGCCAAGCTGCTGCTGCATTCTTTGAAGCAGGGCCGCAGCAGTCACAGTGCCAGGGCACCCTGGGCAGCAGAAACTGTCTCTGCCAGTGCTGTGACGGAAGAGAGGACACATACCACACCTGGCCCTGACAGCCACGGTAGCTACTTATTTCATTAATCACGGGTGAGTGAAATTGAGAACAGGATGTAAACTGCAGTTTTCAGGGGGCAGCAGCCACCATGCTGGGCAGGGCACTGTGGAGCAAGCCCATCACTGCTAGGAGTCTCAGTGGACGGCACATGCTAAGGGCCTGTGGCCTCAAGGCAATAACACTGAGCCCAGAGCTAAGAATAAAACAATCTGGCACAGAATTAAACAGTTTGACTAAGAATAAGATAATTTGGGAGAGATCACTGATTTTCTCCACCAAAACATGGTGCTTTTGCCCAAGGGTGTGACTCCAAACTGTCAAGGTCCCATGGACAGAAGGGACAATGCCAGGCACCCCGGGAGGAGTCTGGGGTCAGAGGGCAGCTGCCCAGGGAGGAGATACCCAGCCTGGCTCCCCCAGGGAATCCGGCCTCCGGTGTCCCAGGTTATCCCAGGAAGAAGGGACAGAGGCAGAGGAGAGGGCAGGAGAAGGGGTGGACGGACCCTCCCAGGCCGGCCAGGTGCTGTGTCGGCCTGGGATTTGAACATCAGCTTCTGGAGTTAGTAGGGCCAGGAGCTGGGCAGAGCACAGCTGCCTAGCTGCTTGGAGCTCAAAGCCATGCCTGGCACCACTGTCACATTCTGCCATGACCCTGGAGCTCCACCTGGCTTCAGGGTTTCCCCTGATTAACTGGACCCCGCCCCCAGGAAGTCTGGCCAGCTGGGGAGCTGGGCATAGATACCCACTGTCCGCCGGTCCCAGGTGAGGTCAGCGCTCCCTCTGGGAGCCACACCCAGGCCAGGAGTGGGCAGAAATTAGTTAGGTGCCTGGCACTGGGGCAGCAAGGTGTAGTGACGATGAGGCTCACAGGGAAAATTCCAAATGGCCCCTTTGACCAAGGACACTCATTCCCAGGGGCTTTCCTGCATGCCATTTTGTCTAAGACACAGTAACTGGCTTGAATGCTCTCAAGGTCCTGGGTTCAATTCTCAGCCCTGAAGAGAAAACTTCCCTGCTGAGGTTGGCATGGTTCTAGGCATCGCTAAGCTCACATTAAGGTGTCAGCAGCCTGCCCTCTGTCCACGGGGAGCCCCAGTGTTACCCCAGAAGGGAGGTCATCGTGGTGAGTACAGCCTCTGCTCAGCCCTGGCCCCCAAAGCCTGCAGTGGGTGCAGGAGGAGAATGGGTAGGGTCGGCACTGGGACTTGGGCCTCTTAAAAAAAGGAAGAGGAAAAAGGTTTCGCAGGGTCCAGGACCCAGAGCCGTGGGCTGTGGTTCCCCTACCCTGCTTCCTCCTCCTGCAGGTGGCCACGCCCACCAAGTTTCCTTATTAGCCACAAAACCCAAGGCTAATAAGGGTCCCCCGGCCCTGACCCCCAGAAACAGGGCCACTGCCCCCTATTCAGGGGTCACCCAGCTCTGGGCGCCCTCTGGCTGGAGTGGCTTTGTACCACCTCCTTCTGCAAACAAACTGGCTTGGCTCCATCTCCTGACTTTTGTCCTCACTCTCCATCATGGTCCATCCCACTGGCCATGTCTAGCACAGCAGAAATCTCCAGCTGGACCGTCGGGTCACAGGGGACCCTGTCCTGGGGGCAGTCCATGCTCGTGTGACTAAATGGCAGTACAGAAAGCTGATGCTCAGAGAACGGGCGGGAGCGAGGTTCACACAGAACTGCGTGGCAGTCTGTCTGGGGACCCTGCAAACAGAAGTCCAGCTTGCTAGTCTCCAGGCACCCAGGTTAGGGCATTTTACTGACAAGCCTCTGGCCAGAGGATGTTTGGCACTGGAACCCCAGAAGTCCGGGTGGACCAGGCGAGCTGGGAAGTGGGGCTTCTCCACCCTCCTGTCTCCGCCTGTTCACAGTCCACCCTGGCAGAATCCAACACGGCTCCTGCTCGGAGCAAAAGCAGCTAGAGATCGCAGAGACAAGCACCCCGGCCAGGATGGAAATAGACACGAGAGGAACTTACTTGGGGTGCAAGTTCCCGAGGACTTGGGCCGCCTGTGGAGGACGTGTGTCGGGGCATGCGTGGGAACCCTCGGAGTGTACTGGGGTACGGCTGGCGGGTAGTGCTGAGGTGGATACACTGCATAGATGCTGGGCGCCGTGGGCAGCTGTGCAGAGTGCAGGTGTTCCGGCTGGTACCCATGATTTGTGTAGCAAGGCTCAATGCCTGGTGGAGACCCCTAAACAAAGAGAAGGCAAACCTGTGAAGCTCTGTGCTGAAGCATTCAGCACACACCACCATGTGACGCCCCACCCAGACAGGGACAGGGGCCCTCAGGACGTCACTTCCCCTAAAACAAGCCGGTTCCAACTCCAAGCTAGCAGGAACCTCAATCTCGTGTCTTCCGGCCCTGCATTTTAATTTAAGTAATGTCCACTGTTTATTCCTTGAAATGAAGCAGTGGTTGACATCGGATTTGGCTTGAAAAAGAACACATCTGAGGTCCAGGACCACAGCCACAGGTCCAGTGCCTTCCTGAACCTTCACTTCTGGCTAGGCTGGCTGCCCTCAGAACTCTCATGCAAAATGATGAAGTAGTGACCCCAGAATTTGCACGAGGTCCATCAAAGCTGCGTCCAAGGACCTACTGAAGCAGCCTCTGTGTTCGTAACGTCTTTGGTCTCCCAAGGTCAGTAGGGGCACAACGCCCACACCAAGCTATCCAGGAAGTAAAACCAAGAGGTCCACCCCCACCTGCTGCCCACCGGCTCCCTGCTGCAAGCAGTTCTGCTGCCATAAAGGCCCTTTTGGAGCGCGACCATTGTCCTGGGCAGGGTGCAGCCATCACACAGGGTTCCTTCCCGTGTTTCCAGGTCAAGGTGCTTTCATCACACCAGCGTGTAAGGAACAGCCCGGCCACCAGTGTCCTCCCCACCCTGCCTCGCCTCGTGCTGTGGCTGCTTCCGGGCTGCCTTCTGGGGTCCCCTGCTCCAGACCCAGCCCAGAAGCCTCTCTGGACCCCACAATCTGCAAGCTCCCTTTCTACACTCCACAACGGCACCAGGGTGGGCCTCTCCTCAGGGGCCAGATGTGTCCTTGTAGGGGGTCTCATGGCCCCCAACACTCAGTCCTGGCCTTGTCACCTCTTGTGGGCGTTGGTGACAAGAGAGGTCACTCTCCCCGGCCAGGTACTTCCAGTAGAGGCCACTGGGTGCTTAGGCTTTAAGTTTGACCTCAGGAAGCATGACTGGAAAAGAAGCCTGAAGCCCAGAGTGACCTGTGCTTAATAACTCATTGACAAAGTCCTTCTGAGACCAGTAATGACCACTGCATACCAGTGTGGGCGGAGCAGGAGCGAGCTGCAGGCCCTGAGCTAAGCGGGGAGGATCTGGGGATCAGCAGGGCCCAAACCTTTCCAAAAGCGAGCCATCCACCAGGCCAGGCAAAAGTGTCTAGCCTGGAGCTTTCCAGTGCCACAGATTTGGAATTTAAAAGGGTCCAGTCAGGAATAAATATCAGTAACCAAAAAAGAAACACAGTGCATGATCCTACAGGGTCCAGAGAAGGCGCCTCCTAACCATGAGGCCTTTACTGACCCCACTCATTTCAGGCCACGGTGAGGCTGTCATCTAGGAAGGGGGAAAATGTAAGGACTTCTGTCTCCGGGGGGGTGGACTTCGGGGCTCCAGTGTGCCCCCCATGCACTGAAGGAATCTCAGGCTGTAAGGAAGTGGGCACAGGGATGTCCCCAGCAGCCTCTCCTCCCCAGCCTCACACCTCCACCCCAACTGCCTCACCTGTCTGCACAGCTGCCATCCCCACCCACCCCCAGCCCAAAGGGGAGAGGCGAGGGCGGCTGGACCCGGCAGCAGTGGCTTTGGGACCCATCTCTGCAACTCGGGCTCCACTCCAACTCACCTCTTTCTGGACAGCACCTTGAACCGTGTGGGATCTGCTCCCCTCACCTACCCCTCCTCCAGCTGCCCCCTTGCACTGCTGGGAATGCAGGGAAGGGGGGAGGGCAGGGAGGTAATCATTAACTACTTACTGAGTTCAAATCCATGCTGAGGTCATCAGCTGCATGGGGCACTGCCAGGGCCTTGGGCCAGTCCAGAAGCCCTGGAAGAAAGCATCACAAGACCATGATGTTTCCACAGCGCTCTGGAGCAAAGATAAGGCCAGGTCCGCTGGCCCAGGGCACACAGGGAAAGTGCTTCCGGCCAGCATGGGCAACAGCTCTGCTGACCTTGAGGATTCGCCTCTACCACCTCTCTCCACCGTCCTGTGTACAGGGCAAGTGCACTGCTGAGGCACATTGGAGCCCAGGGCTCCCTCAGGGTGCAGACCTGCCCTTGTGGGTGGTGGCTGGTGTGTGCTTTTAAGAGACAAGCTAAGGACCCCGAAATGAAGGGAAGGTTCCCAGGGGTGAGCTCAGTGCTGTCCCAGGCCTCCAAATCCTCTTGCAATTCTGCACAGCCAGGCTGTGACGTCCCATCAATTATAGCTACCAAAAGGAAAATGGAAATGCCATCCTTTGGGAGGCTGAGGCAGGAGGATCTCTATGAGTTCAAGGCTGGCTTGAATTACACAATGCACCCCTGTCTCAAAAAAAGCAATAAAAACCAAACAAACAAACAAACCAAACAGGAAGAGAATCTGTAGGTTAAACACACAGCAGAACCATAGCAAGGAAACCTCCAAATTTGCCAAGCTCTACAGTGGGTCAGAACAGGCAGGGCCCTGGGCCACACCCCAGCAATGCCACCTCTGGGAGGTGTCCCCAGGCAAGGAACGAGACACACTGACCCCCAGGCTCTCCTGGGAAAAGCAGGGATCGTGCCAGGTGCTATAGACTCAGCTAGGGACACCATGGGCACAGTGTGGCGGCAGTCACCGAGGACAGCGGAGTGACCGGGGGTCCCCACACCCTCAGGTGCCTGTGAGCGCACAGCCTTGCACCCAGACAGAGCAGGGGCTCTGGGACGCAACATCAGGAAGAGGCCACACTGGGCTTTAAAGTAAAGCATGTGGGCCCCTATTTTAGGAATAGACACATTGTCTAAAATGTCCTAAAACACATCCATTCCTACTCCCTCTGCCACCCCAAATCCAAATGAGAGGGACATGGGGAGCTGACGACACAGAGTCTGAGACAGCAGCCATGTAAAGAGCTGTGCCGGTCACCTCGTCCGTGGCCGTGCAAGGGCAGTGTCCTCCTCCCCCTCCTCCTCCTCCCCCCCTCCCCCCTCCTCCCCCTCATCCCCCTCTCCCCTCCTCCTCCTCCCCTTCCCCCTCCCCCTCCTCCCCCTCTTCCTCCCCCTTCTCCTCCTCCCCTTCCCCCTCCTCCTCCTCCTCCTCTGAAAGGTAACACAGACCCTCCCCCCAGCAGCTTTCTGCTTCTGCCACTTTTAGCAGCTCCGTGCAGAGCCTCCTGCCCACAGTAGCAATAGCATCATCCTCCTGCCTACCTGGGCAAGAACTCTGTCGGGTGGGTTTCTCTGGGACCCCTCTCCCCGACGTCTCCTCTCAGTGATTTTGCACCCGCTGACCCATCCTGCTCCTGGGTGGTGAAACCCTGCATTCCCTGGCTGTAGGCAGAGTCAGAGCAATCTCTCCCCCACTGCCGGGTTTCTTCCCCTTGGAGACGGCCCTGCATAAACCAGCCTTCCCTACTTGGCCTTAAGGACAGTCACTGATTCATTGTTTCTTTAACCTGTCTCTCAGTGAGCGCTGCTCTTCACCCGTCCAGGCTGGGGTCCACAGGATGGCATCCCCACTAAGGGCGCAGGAGCTGCAGGAGGCTCTGGGCTTTGCAGGCAGCCACCCCAAGCCGAATTCTTTTCACCACATTCATCCTGGAGCACTGCAAGCGTGGCATAGCAGGGAGCAAAGATGCTGGCCTCGGACCCTCTGGTGTAGACCCAGGCTCAGCTGCTGGAGACCTAGAGAGATTCCGCGGCAGTCCTGGGCCTCAGCGGCACCAGCGAGTTCCTCGAGAAAAAGTGCTTATGCCCAGTGCCTGCACTCAGAAGCCTGGCCCCGCTTTTGCCACATCAAAGCCGAGCAATGTTTAACTTCCTGCCGAGGAGCAGGATAGAGGGAAGAAGCCAGCTTCCTGCGTCTCCCAAGCCTCAACACAAAGTCCACCTGCTCCGAGAGTTCACGAGATCCAAATGCCAGGGACACTGCTGAGAAACTTGGTAGCTAATAAATCATTAAACCAACCAGGAAGGGAAAAGACCAAGCGCCTTGCAGCAAATAGAAAGTCCAGTGAAGCTCTGAACGCTTACCAGAAAGTGAGTAAGTACGTCCACCGTGTGCAAGGAGGATAGAACAGCTGCGTCTCGGGAGAGCCCTGAGCTGTGTTTAAGACGAAGAACAAGGCCGGCAGCTTGCTGGGGAGGAGGAAAGCGACCCAGCTGACGTCCTGGGGAAATCATCTTTGGATGGTGGCACCATCACTGGTTAGTTAATACCCTTCCCCAGGTCCGCCTGGGAAACTGGGGGAAACTGGGTTGGTAACTCCCTGTCGCCCATGTCATCAGCAGGTGAGAGCTCAGCCTGGCCAAGGTGACTTCGGCAGAGTCCTGCCAGGGCAAACAGCCGCCTGCCGCCCCTGGCCTGGGCGACTCCGGCCACTCCTGGCTGTCTCTCCAGTTAGGGCTGGGCTGAGATTTCAGGAAATGAAAATGATCCTGCTGGCAGCTTTCCATAGAGAGGAGCTCTCTGAAAGGAGCCGCAGCTCAAGGCTCAAAATCCAGGCTCTCTATTCATCCGAGAACCCTCGCGGTGAGGGAGAAGGAAATCAGGAAGGGCAGGAACTAGGGAGCCACCGTGGGAATTGTCAAAGAAAAGCCTCAGGACACGGAAGCTGGCCAGGACAGGGACAATCCTATCTCCCCCAGCCATCCTGCAGCCCACAGGTGGACAGTGACAGCTCAGCTAGCCTGGGCTTTGCGGCAGGAGAGGAGAGCGCTGTCCAGGTCTTCTTGCAGCCCAAGGGGACAGAAGGGGATCCCTGGGAGGGTGTGGCCAGCAAGACCCCAGAAACCACATTCGGTCCCACAGGGCTCCAAACAGGTGCTCCCAAGGTCGCCTGGATCCAAAGCCACCGGACCTGGTTTCTGAAAAGAGCGAGACACAGCCCTGGCGTCTGGGCCCTGCTCAGGCTGATTCCTCAGAAAGCCAAATCCCACTGAGAGTCGCCTGCCGGGGAACCAAGCACAGATGCGACGCCGTTGATCTTTCATCCCCACCCCAGGAAACAGTCATTCCCAAACAAGACTAGTTTCATCTCAGAGTTTCTCCCCTCCAGAGCCCGCTGGACTCGGGTGCTGGCTGCAGGCCAGCTCCGAAAGTGACAGCAGCCACGCAGACCCAGATGAAGTCAAGCTCCCCATGCGAGGCCCATCCAGGGGTCGAGGTGCAGCAAGGTCACCATACAGCCCAGGTGCACCTCAGGGGCCCCCATGGTGCCCTGGGCGCTGTTCCATGTGCTGGAGAAGCAAGTGGACACTCTCTCCCCGCCGTCGCCCACACCCCTTCTCCAGCCTCAAAGGCTCCCACATCCCGGGAGCACCCGCAGCACAAATGCCATCTGTGAAACGCTCTCTCCTGTCAGGGATGCAGTGTGGTTAGACAGAAATGAGACACTGAGAAGCTTGTGGGACAGAGAAAGAGTGAGGGAGAGACAGAGATGGAGAGAGATAGAGAGGGAGAGACAGAGAGAGACAGAGAGACAGGGACAGAGAGGGAGAGACAGAGAGAGAGAGAGACAGGGACAGAGACAAAGAAAAACAGAAAGAGACAGAGAGACAAAGAGAGACAGGGACAGAGAAAGAGAGAGACAGAGACAGATAGAGACAGGGAGAGACCAGGGAGAGACAGAAACAAAGACAGAGAGAAACAGAAAGAGACAGAGAAACAGAGACAGAGAGAAGCAGAGAGACAGAGAGGGAGAGACAGAAACAGAGTGACAGAGACAGACAGAGACAGAGAAACAGAGACAAAGACAGAGAAACAGAGACAGAGAGAGGCTGAGAGACGGAGAGACTCAGACTCCTCCCCGTGGACCCCTCATCATCCCAAGGAGATCGCAAGCTTTTCAGATCCGGGCTCCTATTTCGCAGCCAGCTTTGCAGCATACAAAGAAAGCGTTCAAATATTTCTGAGCTCCAGAGGCCAAAAGAGCGGTGTGAAACAGAACAAGCAATGGGAAGTCTACAGTGGAGTCACCAGCCTCCCGGGCTGGGGCAATGGAGCCTGGTCACCGGTTGCATGCCCAGCACAACGGCCAGGTAGAGGGGCCCCAGGCCGCTCTGGGAACCCTCCCTTGACACTGCCCCCAAGCCACAGGCTCACTGGACAGCAGGATGCTGGTAAGCAGGGCTCCCTAAGGGTTAAGCAGGAAAGTGAATCCCAAGGCTCTGGGTCAAACATTCCACAGCAGTAGCTCGGCAGTGGGGAAAGGTTTTCTCCCTGTGGCTAAGGTGCCACGCTATGGGAAAGGGATTCAGTGTGATCCATGTGAGTCCCAAGGGTGCTGCGGGATCAATGACCAGAACTACCAGAAATGCAGGCTTTGACTCAGTTCAGGGAAACCAGCTTTCCAGCAATTAGTAAGTTCCAGTAAGAAGCCAAGTGTGGTGGTGCACAGCTGTAATCCCAGCACTGGGGAGGCTGAGGCAGGAGGATCACCACAATTTCTAGGCCAGCCTGGGCTACAAAGTGAGTTCAAGGCCATTGTGAATTGCATAGTGAAAATTTGTCTCAAAAAGACAAAAAAGAAGAAAGACAAGACAAGACAAGAAAAAATTCAAGTAAGGCCTGGGGCTGCCTGGGCAAACCCCAAGTTTCTCAAACCTAAACACTTCCTGAGAGGTCCTGACCGGCACCACAGAGGAGACGATTTTTAAGGTCACTCCCAGCCAAGCACGATGGCACACATCTCAGCCCCAGCTGCTCAGGAGGCTGAGGCAAGAGAGTCATCATGAGTTCAAGGCCACAATGGGCAACTTAGTAAAACTTCATTTCAATAATAACAACAATAATAATAATAACCTGGCTCCAACCCGTTAGAAAGGCAGCCTTGCCAGCAGCTCTAGCTCATCGGGTGTCTTCTGTAATCAGAGTTTCACAGAGCAAACTCCAAAACCCATCCCTAGAAAACAGCATCCTGAGTCCAGGCGGGGACTTGCCAGCTCCCTGCCAAGGCAGCCCCTTGGACAGTGGCCTCCTCCAGGGGAACCCGACACGGGCTCGCTCGCACCTCAGGCAAGCGAGAGGAACAAAGCCCGGGCTTGTTTCATCTGCCAACCCAATCTCATTCACAAAAACGCTTCTACACTGTTTTAAGACACTAAAAATTACATGTTCCAACACTCGTTCCCCCTCTTCTGGCCGCTCTGGGCTCCCACCTAAGATAACTCGTTCTTCCAACCCTACTGCGCTTGTGTGAATGCCACTGCCACCAGCATCCAGAGGTTCCCGTGGCTGCCCTGGGCCTGGGCCCCTCCCAGCCACCACCCCCATGACTGAAGCTCAACTTTGTACACACAGCCCCTTCCGGCTCCCTGCCGTTGGGTAAGGGCCACATCCTGGCTGGGCGTGGTGATGCACACCTATAATTTCAGCATTCTGGTAGCCAGAGGCAGGAGGGTTGCAAGTTCAAGCCCAGCCCAGGCAATCTGTCTCTTTGGCAAGGCCTCGCCTCAAAACAAAAAACAAAGCAAACCTTCATGTTGTTCAGTGGTAAGGCCCTGCATTGGATTTCTAGGACTGAAAATTTTAAAAAGCTCTATTTTTGGACCACCTACACTCTTCAAGTCCCCTGTGTGTACCATGCAGGTCACTGCGCACCCCTTCATCACTCCTTCCCCGTGGGGCCTCAACTGTCCCCCAGATGTCTCCAGTGCACACACCACTTCTCTCCTGCTTCCTACCTGGCGGCTGCTGGTAAAACCAAGGCCAGGTCCAGCCCTTTGGGACCCACAGTGCCACACTGGGTCCCTGGCATGATGAGAGAAGCCCCTGAGGACCTTGGAGCTGCCCACGGGGCTCCTACAGGGGCCGCCCACACCAGAGCCCAGTTCTTCAATGCACAGCGCTCCTGCAGCCGGATCCTCAGAGGCCACCAGACTTATCCTCTCAATCCTGCAGGGGGCTCCAAAGGCCTCAGACCCCCCACCACCAACAACCAGGCTGTTTTCTGCTCTTCAGTACCCGAAACACAGTCCTAGGGAGGCTCCCAAGTAGCTGCCTTCCTCCCTGCCCAGCCTGAAGCGCACTGCATAAGGGGTTCCCAAGCTCAAGCTTCCTCAAGGGCTACGGAAACAGTGGAGATTCCTGTGCCCAGGGCTGGTCACCCCGCGCTGTCACAAAACTCCCCAGGAGTCCTGCCATGGGCCTGGACAGTAGAGTGGGCCCCCCCCCAACGGTGCTCCCAGATTCCATCTCCTGTTGGGCCCGGCTCAGAGCAGCAAGCGCCTAGTGAGGCTGGGGACTCAACTTCTCCCCACATGCGGCGATGCACTGACCTCAGGACAGAGAAGCCAAGGGAGAGAGCAGACCCTGTGCCAGTGGTGACCCATGCGATGCCTGCTTGGAGCCCAGGGACCTTCAGACCCATGGGCACCCCAGTTCTGCCCCTCTCTGGACATGAAGATGTCCAACAAATTACCCGATCACGGAGTCAAGTGCCTTATAAAGAGCTTGCAGTGATGCCCAGCCAGACTAGGGTCATCCCGAGGCCCACAGTGAGCTTGACCAAGTGCTCTGCTTCTGGTATGGCACCCAAATCACCAGGTTGGGTCAGACCATCAGCAGCCAGCCGGAAGCCTTGGCCAGGGCTTGCCCTGTGGGGCAGAGCAGGTAGTTCGGGGCCCAACCAATATCCAGGACAGAGGAATTCCCTTTCCAGGGTGACTCCTTGCAAGGCTGGGTCACATGCTCCTGAGGGCTGTGCATGTTCTGACTCAGGGTCCGATACGTGGAGCCGTTTCTCCCAAAGCCAGGGTGAGCAGTGTCTCCAGCCGGCAAGGACGCCTGCGGCTCCTGTGCAGACACTCCCCTGCAGGGGCCGAACCTCCTCCCCACCTCACCTGTCCACCTGTCCAGGAAGGTCACCGGACACAGGAGTCCCGCCCTTCCCCTGCACTGATCCTGGCCCCCTCCTCACTTCCTGCGGGGGGCGGGGGCTTCTCCACCTCCACCTGCATCAACAACCCAGAGGGTTTCCAAACAGTGCTGTCTTGTAACTTTCCACTCCTCAAGTGGCTCTTGCAGGCTGGGAGCCTGGGACACAAGCATTGGGCGCCACTCTGGGCTTAGCTTCAGGAGGTACCTGTAAGCCCCAACTGTCTAGCCTCCAAGCCTCCTCTCTCAGGGGCGATACCACCCCGAGGCTCACCTGGGACCACTCTCCTCCCCTCCCAGACAAGCCTCAGACTCTGAACGAGAATAGGCACAGGCAGGCCAGCTGGTCCCCTCTGGGCCACTTTGCCAGGCCCTGGGGTGGGGCAACCAGGTGCTGCCCTGCCACGCCAGCTTCAAGCTTCTGCCACGCACTTGCCACCCTCTGGTGCCTGCGGCCACCCACATTCAGGGCCACTGGGTGTGGACGCATAGACTTTCAGGCCTTGGGGCAGCTCCTCAGCTGGCGCTGCAGGTATCCCCAGGACGCTCCCTGCCACCTGCCACCTTCACAAGGCCCCCCACAACAGGACTGGGGATGGACGTACCAGGGCACTGTCTCCCTGCAGGGCACTGACTGAGGGCCCAGATGTCTCTCAGGACCGGCCCTCTGGGTCCCAATCTCAGTGCCACCCGGGGAACCAGCTCGGTCTGGCCCTGTCCCGTCCCACAGCCGGCCTATCGCCAAGGCATCTCCAGAGTTTCCAGTTTCTCCCCAGCTTGTGGGGAAGCAGAAGCAGGAGTTCAGGTAACACACCCTGCCACCGAGATTTTCCTGAGACAAAGGAAAGTGAGGAAGAGCTTCCCTGCCTCACCTCGGGAAGAAGGGTGCACCCCAGCTGCCTGGTGGGGGCACCGAGGGTGGGTGATGGTGAGTGGGCCTTGCCCCGGGACCTTGAGGTGCCCTCCTTTCCAGCCAATGAGCCAGGACCCTCAGCAAGCAGCCCAGCCATGCAATCCCAGGCAATAGGGACAGATTGGGTGGGTCGGGGTGGCGTCCCCTGACCCCTAGGAAAGGCACTCTGCCCACCAGGGCCAGTGCACCTTCAGCCCACACCTGCTTCAGCTCCACACCCCTGCCAGGTTGTTTGGGGGAGCCTGTGTCCAGGTTCAGGATCCCTGACCTGGATCCGACTGGGGACCCAGCCATCAAGGGCACCATGCTCACCTGTGCTGTGGGACTGCGCTCCCAGCCACCGCCTGTCTGAACCAGCGTCCCTCTCCCAGGCCTGCTCCAGCCAGGGCCGGCTTTAACTTCAGGGGGCGGTGCCACAGCCCCGGGGCTACACCCCAGACACGCCCCCAGGGCGCAGAGTTGGGCTGAGGCTGCTACCGGCTCAGGAGGCGTCTCCAAGGGGAAGTTAGGACCCAGGTTGTTCTGGACCCAAGTATGCGGCTCTTCCGGAGATGCCGGAACAGGGCTGGTGCTCAGCACTTGGCTTTGAACTTAGCTGAGCTGGGTAAGGAGGGGCCTCTGGGGTCACTTGCGGGGTCCCCACTGGAGCCCTGGCAGGACCTGCATGACCTCAGTGAGAAGACCCAGGCCAAACTTCACTTCAGCACTCAGGACCCTCCCCAACCTGCAGAGCTGAGGTCCTCGGGCCTCGGCCCTCCTCCCAAGGGTCTGGACTGAGCAGCAGCCGCAGGGCTGGGCAATACATTGGTCTAGAAAGCTCCTCCCTCCCTCAGAGGCTCTGCCAACTAGGCCACCTGAGGGGGCGGGGGTTCAGGATGCTCCCAGTCCCAAACACTACTGCAGGAGACCAGAGCAGCCGCCGGGAAAGAGTCCTTCTGGGCACACTGGCGATTCCCAGGAAATGTAGAAGCTGGAGGAGCTGCCCAGGGGAAGCCGTCCTCATGGAAGGTGGCCCCATGGGAGGGCTGCTGTTCCCAAGGCTTCTGTCATCTGGGTCCTGCATTTCCAGGGTGCTTCCCGCCCTTGTCTCCCCTCTTCACCTTCACCAGCAGCCGGGACTGGAACCCTCTGCCGCTGGGCACGCTCTGTGGGTCCAGGTATCTGGCTGGTGGAGTCCTGTGGTTTTGAGGCGCTGGCCTCCATGCACCCATGAGTCACAAGGACTTTTCGGTGCCTCATGCACTGTCATTCACAGAGCTCCTGCAGAATTGAGGAGGGGGGAGGGAAGCGCAGTGCCCCCTCCCTACCTGACACCGAGATTGACAGGAACTGCTGCAAAGGAACCCAGCCACAGTGCCTGAGCCACCTGAAGGTACCCAGCGCAGCTGCCTGGCCCAGGCCCCTTCCTGGGCAGCGCCTCCTCCTTCCCCACTTTGAGTCACAGCCACATGGGACACTGACTGTCCTCCCCATCTGTGTTTCGATGTCCATCAGGCTGAGCAGAAGGGCTTCCAGGGCTATCTAAGGTCGGGGGCAGGTCTAGGTGTGTGGGTAGCCACTCAGCTCTTCCAGTCTCGTCAGCATGCTCGGGGCCTGCTGGGGATCACCCTGGTATCCACCTGCGCACCACCAGGATGGGTGTCCATCCTGGCTCCCAGCTCCCAGCTCCTGCCTTCCCTAGGATGCCACGGGCCAGGCTGGTTCTCCAAAGGAGCAGAATCAACTGGAGGTGCAGAGGAGAGACACAGGACCTGGAAAGGGGTAACAAGTCCCCTAGTCCGCCCTCCACAGGGGGTAGACACAGAACAAGCCAAGGTGGGATTCAGAGGCCCAGGAGCCCGAGATGTGGACTCGGTACACATCCGAGGGACGGAGGGCCAGGGGCACAGTGGTCAGGAGGCTGAGATGGCACCAGGCGGGAGGCAGAGTACTGCTCACCGCCTCCAGCCTACACCCTGTTCCAACCCGCAGGTGGGATGCTGCTTGCCCTCCAGAGAGGGGTGCACACCATGTCCCGTGCTGTCCTTGCCAGAAACAACCTCAGACATACCCAGAAGCAAGAGCATCCTAAGGCCCACCAGCCGGTCTGTATAGCAAGCCGCCACCACACATCCACCCAGAGAATGAAGCTGTGCTTCATCCCCGAATGAAGACTAGAATGAGGGTGGGATTCTGCCATTGCTGCAGGGAGCAGAAAAGCTACCAGTGATCCCTCTCCAGAGAGGGCGTGAAGTACCAGAGGGATGGCAGCACCTCCCAACCTCCCATTCCTCCGAGGCCCTGGCATCAATGAGCAACACTTCAGACAGTACAGTGAAGTCAGTGCTACTGCTGTTACGTGGTGAGGGAACAGGAGAGGCAGGAAACTAAGCTCAGCTATTGTGTCCGGACAAAGCAGGGAGTAATATGGTAACCACAAGTCTCACCCAGGTCCGGCTGCTCAGCTCTACTTCCTCCTGCAGAGCACGGAGCCCCTCTGCCTCAGCTGCAGTCTCCGGGTCACGGTGAGGGGCTCAGACCTCCCCATTTCTGAAGGTCCAGGCCCGGGGCTGCCTTCCTTGGTCTGAGTCACATGACGCCCCTTCAGCCTGCAAGCCCTGTTTCTCCCCAACCCCATGTTGGGGATGAATTCCCAGCCACTACAACAATGCTGACCTTTGCCTCTTGGAGACAGGAGAAGGCTGCGGTGGCCTCCACAGTTCTGACTGAATAGGTCTGTCTCCGGTGGGACCATTCCTTCCTGCAGAATCGATAAGCCAGAGAACAGGAAGTGGAAATTTGACTGCACGAGCTGGTGAGCAGCACGCTCGAATCTCCACCCGTGATTCCTGAACTCCAGATGCTGGCTTTGGGAGAAACGGCACCACGTATCGGACCTTGAGTCAGAACATGCACAGCCCTCAGGAGCATGTGACCCAGCCTTGCAAGGAGTCACCCTGGAAAGGGAATTCCTCTGTCCTATCAAGCTTCAGGGTGGTGGGAAGCAAGGTAGGACACAGGAGCTGTATGTGGGGACCTGGCATCCAAACTCTATTCCCACAAGAGCACAGCACTGCCCTTCCCGTGATGGCCCCAGACCAGTGTGATCAACCTGCCACAGGTCACCGGCAGATGACCCCAGGAGACAGTGCCACCTCAAAGCACCTTGGTATTGGTCTCTGCCGTTGGCCCGGCGGGTTGAGAGATTGATGGTGGCCGCAGGCAGCTTGGCCTTGGTCCCTGTCACGGAGCCCACCTTGGCCACTTCGTTCACAAGCCCACTGGGAGGTGACGAGAGCAACAGAGAGAGGAGGCTGACGGGGGTCCGCTTGGTTGTTAAAATCCTCCTGCGGCAAGGTCCCTGTGGGTGAAAGTCACACGGGACCCAAATGGCTTCACAGTCTTTGCCCATTCCGGAGGCCCACCATGCCCTACTTCCCCAAATTTCCTGGTTACCGGTTTTCAAACTGGGTCTCTCATCAGCGGGCCAAGCCCGGCTATGGCTCCAGGACTGGTGTAAAAGCTCATGTCTATCCACTTGCAAGGACCATGGGGTCACAGCTGTCACTTCCAGGTGGTGCAGGGGAGCCAGCCAGCGACCAGGCTGTCCTCTCTCCTCTACTCTCTCTCTGTCAGCTGGTGGCAGGGCCTCTGTGTGAGGCCACAGGAGCAGGGCAGGAGGAAGCCACAGGAAGTGTGGGACAGGAGGACGGCGACACAGAGTAAAGGAAATACTGCCACATAAATCCGGAAAGCAGAGTCATGGAACAAATAAAATTATCCTGCTTTACTGACCTTACTCCCCTGGGGGAGAAAAACAACACTGATTAACTTTGGGCGTGACTGAGCATGCTGAGCAGAGCAGGGCACAAGGACCACAGTACCCACGAGTGGGGGCGCCCGCCTGCCTGAGCCAGGGGGGAAAGCTCAGAGAAAAGCCGGAGGGCGGCCGGCCCTGCAGCAGCCCCTTCCCAGCCTGCCACCAGCTCGCCTGCACCCAGGACCGGCTATAGGTCCTGGGTCCCGGGACGGTCAGCCAGCCCCTCCTGACACCCGGTCGGGTCACAATCTTGGTTTCCTGGCCAGCCTGTGGGTCCACCCTGACCACCCCTTGGCTCTCCCTCCCTGCAAACCCCCCTTCACTCCCCAGACGGGTAGACGCAAGGCAGGAGGCACGAGAGACCAGCCTGTCCCTCTCAGCTCCACACATGCACACGCACACATGCACACACACTCACACGTGCACACCATTGGAATGCCTGGGCACAAATGAAAGTTGGAGAAGCGGCACACCGTGTGGATGGACAGGGAGCAAAAGGAGTCGGAAGGACGCTGCTCTACAATGCCACTCACAAAGGGTCCAGAGAGCAGGATGCGGCCAGGGCTGGGGCAGGGGCCACAGATTTAGTCTCCTGGGGATGGAGCTTCAGTTCGAAAGAGGCAAAAGCTCCGGGGTGCATGGAGGTGATGGCTGCACACCGGTGCCCCAGAATCATGCACTTAAAAATGGTTCAAACCGGCCAGGTGTGGTGGTGCAGACCTGCAACTCCAGCACTGTGGGAGGCTGAAGCAGGAGGATCGGAAAGGTGAGCCCAGCCTGGGCAACTCATTGTTAGGGGAGACCTCGCATCAGGGTTTTTAAGAAGGTGCATGCCCAGGAAACGTAGCTTGGTACAGAGGCTCTGGGTCCAATCTGCAGCCCTATACAAAGGTGACGGTACAGAGTTTCAAATTATATTTATTTTTGTCATAATAAAAAAGGGCTGGGGATTTAGCTCAGCGGCATAAGTGCCTGCCTTACAAGAATGCAGTCATGAGTTCGATCCCCGGTACCCACTAAAAAAAAACATAATAAAATGCGAGGCTCCCTCGGTCAGCACCAGAGCCTAGATCCGGACTGTGAAGGATGAAAGTAACCAAACACTCTAAGGAGCTGAGCCGATGTGAGGCTCTCTCCCAAGGACTGGAGAATTTGCACCACTAGCAAAGCAGTCTAGGGCCTGGGCGAGGCTGGCCACACATAATAAAATGCCGTTTTCTACCCGCCATGTTGGTGGTCTGCTCCGTCCTGCAATGCTACAGATGGCCAATGCTGGACCCGCAGGGCTGGGACCAGGAAGGCCTGTCCAAATTGCTGTGACTATGGTGAAGGCCTTTTCAGCATCATGCAGGGAATGTTAAGAAAATGCAAGATTTGTGCAGAAATTCCACTTCCACACATGCACCCCGAAGAGATTCTTCCAGCATGCTCAGAAGCTCTCACGGGAATGTCCAGAAAAGCACCCAAAACGGCCAGCTTCACACTGAAGTCCAAAATGAAATTATGCTGGGGCAGGAGGCTTAAGGCCAGTGTGGGCTGCACAGTGAGTTCAAGGCCAACTGGAATCGCACAGTGAGACCCTGTCCCCAAAGACCCAAAATTAAATATGAATTGATTGCCTCACTGACCACTGAAATCGAAAGAAGA